TTTCTCTCTCGACAGCGCCGTTGACAGCGCCGTCGACGCTCTGTGCGAGCGAGTGTCCGCTAGGTGTGTGTGTGTGTGTGTGTGTGTGTGTGGCAATCGTGTTATGTATGTAGATTGCGGCGATTGCTTGTGACCAGCACCAGCACCACTAGCAGCAGCAGCAGCAGCAGCGACAGCAACTGCGACTTCAGCAGCGACTGCGACGCTGGCAGCGACAGCGACGCCTCTCTTCCTTGTGGGACGCGAGCGCTGCGCGTCGCCCGCTTTTATCGGTTGCATGAATCTTCATAAATGCGATGCTTGTTGTTGTTGTTGTTGTTGTTGTTGTTGCTGTTGCTGTTGCTGCTGCTGTTGAATCTTTTATGTTAATTTTCAAATCGGATCGTAGACAAATGTCACCAACAGCCGCCCGCTCTCGCTTTCTTTCCAGGGGTTGATTTGATTATAATAATAATTAAAATGTTGTTGTTGTTGTTGTTGTTGTTGCTGTTGCCTTTTCTTACTCTACTCCATTTCTTCGTCGTCTTCTTCTTCTTCTCTGATATATGTTAATACATAACACCGAAGCTTAGTACCTCCACAGCAATTATCACACATACAAATTTTTATATTTTATATCTATAAATAGCTTAACTCATTTTTAATGGGAGTTTCCCATTCGCTGGACTTTCTTGGTGATAAATATTAAATAAATGTTTTATTTTTGATAACATATTTATATATATATCTATGTTTATCTATGTTCCCTAGTCGCATTCTAAGATGGGAATATTTGAAGGAGAGAGAGAGAGAGAGCAATAGGGTGGGGGAGAGATAAAAAGATTATCGTATATAGAATAGATATATGCGATAGATTAGATAATATACGATATACGTTATATGAAAAAAAACGATATTCGATATTTGGTGCACGTTATATATACTATATAGTGTAACTTGTTACATGAAATATGACATACGATATTCGATATACATTATACGATATAGCAAAAATGATATACGTTATAAAATAGCTATATGTATAGCATATATAATGTAATTATCTTAATATTGCAATATCTATTTGCTCAACCTTTAGACGATATACGATATACAATATACGATATCTGATATACGATATACAATATACGATAGCTTATATATATTTAGTATTTTGTGATATATGATACACAAATGCGTTAAATAACAAACGATATACATTTTACGATATACGATATACGAATACCATATAGAATAGATATACGATATAGTTAATTTATTTTCAATATATTCATATCTTGATATTTATGTGCACATTTAGACATTATACGATGTACGATATACGATATGCGTTATGCCATATACGATATACAAATACGATATATAATATATATACGATATTGTGAATTTCTTTTCAATATCTGTGCGAACATATAACCATTATGCAATGCACGATATGCGACTTACGTTATACGATATACGATACACGATATACGAATACGATATATGCGTGCATGCACTTTCAATGGCTCAACGAAAATGACTTGAATAAACGCAGCGATTATTGATTGATATTTGGAGCATGTGCTATATATATGTGCGTATATAATGCTGGCACTTTCTAGACGCACAGAGGCACGAGCCGTTGATTATCGATCTTTAATTAGTGCCATGCCCTTGTTATCGATTTCAATTTGTTAATAATGTCACTTAATACTGTACAGCTGGATGTATGGGTGTCTGTCTGTGCAATGACAATACAGCGCAGGGGCGTGGCCAGTGGGACGTGCACGCCCACAAATGAATGACAAACAGATGAAATTGGCAGCTACTCAAAAATTGATCGATTGTTGTTGTCTTCTCGTCTTGGCTTTTGAGATTTCCAATTTGTAAAGCATTGACATGATTTCTGAATGAGCGCAGCTCTTGCTATTGTTGCTGTTGCTGTTGCTGTTGCTGCTTGTTGTTGCTCTGCTCTGATCTACTCTCGCTCTCTAATCAATCGCAGCTTTAATGTCGCTCCTTTCACTTTAGATATATACATATATATCTCCATCAATATATGCATAGTAGTCTATCAATTGTCAATTGAGGAAGCGCGAATGGAGCTCGAGTAATTGCAAATAATCAGCATTTGACTGAAGTAGTGAAATTGTCCTTAATACACTTAAATACCCAATTGACAGTGCCTCACTGGCACTTATTCATCTGTGTGCCTATATGGCCATAAGCATATCTACTTATCCATGCCAAGTATTTATAAGCAAATTGCAAATGAGGCACAGTTGCGAGCTTCAAGATAGGAAATTTGTTTTCTTTGCCTTTATAAAGATTCACTTTCCTCTCAAAGTGGAGAAATCGATGGAGGAAGAAGTGGAGCACGAGTTCCTTAAGCTACATTATCTGTTACTGCTTGATATATACTGAAACCCGATTCGAAAACTTACTGAGAAAGCATCAGTTAAAGTTTTAGAAAGAATTTGAAAAATATTTTTCATATTTATAATTTTCTAGCTAGAAATTTATATTTCTAACTAGATTCCATTTAGACACGGATTAACTCTAATTAGTGTGAGCTCGATATCGATTATGTTATCGATCAAATCGAGTCTTTAGTAACAATCAATCAAAACAGTATTTTCTTTGTTGGCCCTAAATATTATGATAGAATATTATCGATAAGCAGCATATAATGTTATCGATAAGCCAATGTACACTTTCGATTAAAAATAGAGCTAAGTCGAGGCAGGATAGAATATTATCGATAAGCAGCATATAATGTTATCGATAAGCCACTTAAAAATTGAGCTAAGTCGAGGCAGGATAGAATATTATCGATAAGCAGCATATAATGTTATCGATAAGCCAATTAAAAATTGAGGTAAGTCGAGGCAGGATAGAATATTATCGATAAGCAGAATATAATGTTATCGATAAGCCAATTAAAAATTGAGCTAAGTCGAGGCAGGCTCTGTAGACAGTTCCTCCCTCTGAATTGATATTTTCTATAGCATACTTTTGGCATAACAGTGCATGTATTACAGGGTATCTTTAAGTCCAGCGCGACCAGTTGGATTGGGTACTTGTGCTAGGGTAGTAGTGAGCTGGACTTATACCATCGCTGCATATGCCGGGCCATGCGGCATGCATTCCGCTCGGGACCCAGAGTTCACACTCCGAAATACCTGAGTTGAAGAATTCGTATACATCACGAGACGCCATTCACACAATGCTCAATGAAAGAAGTAAAAAACGTCTAGTAATATTTTAGGTTGTTTAAAATGTTTCGCTCGCTACGTTTTTTAATGAAATGGAAAGTGGGGATTAGCGAGCGAGTTTTTTCGTTTTCGAGAAATATTTAAAAGACAAGAAACACGTACGTAAACATCATTAACATATGAGAAACAAGACCCAAGACTCGTATATGGGTTAGTCGAGCTGCTCTATGGGGCCCGACGGATGACATTTGCCTTCGCCAGCTAGAATCCATCAGCGAAATGAGCTGAGCTATGAAAGCGAGAGTGTTGCCCGAGTGCTTCAAGTGGCTCGAATGGACAACCAGAAAAGAAGACAAAAAACACACACACAAACACACACACACACACATAGGTAATAACAAAAAGTTGAACGCTTTGTAATGAGACTTGACAGAGGCAGACATAGACAGAGAGAGAGAGAGAGATCGTTCAATAGGAGCTGGACGCCTGGGCGTGCGGACAAACTTCGGTTACATAGAAGAGTCACAAAACTTTCTTCTTCCAATATTCCCGCTGCTTCGTAAAGTGCATTGTTGTTATTGTTGCCACTGTTGTTATTGTTACTCCAACAGCACAGCACAGCACAGCACAGCACACACCCACACATCATCAACGTAATTATCTGCGCTGTGTAGCCCAAGTCGTCATCGCTTACCCTTGTTAAATACAACACACTCACACACATACGAGTGTGACATGCGAGGGCACGTACCAACGCACAGTGGTACAAAACAGCACTTGCAATAGACATGAATCTGAAAGTGTTTTCTAGTTGCTCATCCAAGACGAACTAAGCCTAGAATTGAGCCTTAGCTTGGTAGCCAGCTCTAGTTAGCTAAGCTTGAATGCAGGCTTGACAGCAACATGGAAATACAGGCATATACCTCACAGTAATGGCAGCTTGAATGGAGCCAAGAATTGCCTCTGTTTGAGCAACTATCTCCACTCAGACATCAGCACTAAACTAAGCACTGCAATACAGGGAAATTAAGCTTAAATTCAAGTTCAGAGAGCGGCTCTACGGCAGCCAGATCATAAGTCACAGGAAAACATGCGGAAATATATGCAGGGAAATAATAAATCAACACTCGGCTATAAGGCTTAAATACAGGGAATACATGTACATGAAAATATAGGGAAATTCTTAGCAGCAGTCGAGAGCAATGCTGTTGAATACTGGGAACATGCAGTACCTGCTCCTGCAATACGAGATTTCCATACGATTCCGTATAACTATATACAGTTATGTAAGCTATGTAAATCGTCTGATGTTTTTTATATAATATAAATATTGGAGTTGAGTGGCTTTGGTACCACTGTGCGCGCTGGTTGCGTAGCTGTTGCTGCTGTTGTTTTTTTTTCGACTGGTTTTCAGTTGCTTTTGTTGTTGTTGCTTTTTCGCCAACCTCAGAGGCATGAGCCGAGGAGTGTGTGAGGCGGCGGGGTTGGTGTTGGCGTGTCAATGTGTTTTTTGGGGTTTGGGGCTTTTGAGCTATTCGGCAGCAACGGCTAAAGGAAAAGGCGCGTAGAAACTACAGTGAACAAAAAGCGTTTGCCGGTGTTGCTGTTGCTGTTGTTGCTGTTGTTGTGGCTGTTGCTGTTGCTATTTTGTTGGCCCTGGGCTCGCTCGGGTCGGTCGGCGTTGCCGTTAGCACGGCGCGCACTTGACACACCCAACAAAGGCTGCCAGCCGAGCCACTTGGCAGGCAGACTTTCACGACGCGACTAATCCGTAAATATATTTTTTGCCTTTGTTTGCTGCAGATGGAGGAGCTAACCGAAGCGGAGGACTGTGCAGGAGTTGCCCTGCATCGCAGCAGCAGCAGCAGCAGCCAGCTGCAGGCACAGCCAGTGGCCAGCTGCCAGCCCATAGCGCCAATGGCCAGCTACTCGGAGAAGGCAGTGGGTAGCTCGCCGAAGCATTTGGTGCACACGCTGACCTCGCCCATCGAACAGATCGTTGCGTGCAGCGTGTCGCGGGAGCATGTGCTCAAGCAGGAGATCGAGAAGCTGCAGGAGCAGCTCAAGGACACCGAGGAGCGTCTGGCGTCGGTGCGGCTGCAGAGCGAGTCGCTGTCGCAGACGCAGCGCGCTCTGCGGGATCACAACGGGCGGCTGCAGGAGGAGTCCGAGATGCTGAAGCTGGATGTGCAGCATCTGCATGAATGCGCCGGCGTCTTGCGCAGCGAACTGCAGTCGGCACGCCGGGATCGGGATGAGGCGGTGCAGCTGGAGCGTTCGTTGCGCAGCGAGCTGAAGGATGTGCAGCAGGAGCGCCGCCAGGCGGCCGATAGCAAAGAGAAGGACGCCAGGATCATACAGGACTTGCAGCGCCAGTGCCGCGAAATGGAACGCATTCTCATGCGCAAGCATCCCGATTCCGTGTCGGCTCTAATAGGTGAGCTAGCGCTTCCTAATCCTGTCCAGCTCTTAGCCTTAACCTTTCACTCTGCCTTGCAGTTGCCTCGAAGAGCTCCAGCATCTGCTCGCTGAACGACCAGGAGAACCTGAACAGCCGCAAGCTGCTGGAGCAGCGCATCGCACAGCTCGAATCGGATGCCAAGGAGCAGGATCGCAAGGCTCAACAGATTTTGGCCAACGTGCAGGCGCGCTTCAACTCCGTGCAGGCCAAGTACGAGACGCACATTGCCGACCTGGAGACGCAGGTGCTCAAGTAAGTGTCCCAAGGCTTTAGTTTGTCCCTTTAGCCCACTTATTGTCTTTGCTCCTTAGCCTGCAGGAGATCAACACGAAGCTGAACGAGCAAATCGAATCGCAGGTGCGCACCTTGGATCGCTTCATGCAGAAGCGCGCCGACAGATACTACAACAACTGCACCCAAACGGAGCCACAGCTGGAGCAAGTGCAGCAGGTGGATCAGAGCAAGGCCATCAGCAGCAGCGGCAGCAGCAGCAGCAGCACGAGCACCCAGACGCAGGCGGGTGGCTCCATGCGGGATCACAGCACAAATACCATTGGCTGTCCCTCGCCCAGCATCAGCTGTCAGCAGCATCTTCTCCATCATCAGCAGCAGCAGCAGCAGCAGCTGCACTCGGCTGGCAGCAGCAGCACGAGCAGCACAGCCAACTCGACGCCCAACACCTCGCGACCCAATTCGAAGCAAAGCGGCGCACAGCGACGCAATCCCTCGGCTGTCCTGGGCGTCTCCAAGTTGCCCATCTCCCAATCGGACTCCACCCTGTCACTGCTCAGCCACGGCCATGGTCCATCGGGTGCCGGCCAGCTGCAGGACTCGCAGCTGCTTAGCTCGCTGCGCAGCATGCGCATCGATTTGGCACTGAAGAACAAGGCCATGCAGCGGCTCACCCATGAGCTGGACGATTGCAAGAAGACCATACGGAAGCTGCAGCGCGAGCGCGAAAGGGAAAGGGATCGTGAGCGGGAGCCGTCAGCAGCCGGAGTGGGAGCAGCTGCTGTTACTCCAGGTAAGCCTGTCTCTAAACACTAGTGTGCAGGTGTCTCTCTCTCTCTGTGTGTGTGTGTGTGTGTGTGTGTGTGTGTCAGTGTCACTCGGTCGTTGCTGCTGCTGCTCGTGTAATTTATGGACTTTCTCTGCTCGTCAGCACGTACAAGACTTAAAGCCAAGCGAAACACGCAAATAAATTGCTGAAATAAATCATTGCCTGCCTGTTGTTGCCTGCCTGCCTGCCTGCCTGACCGTCCAACCGTCCGACCGTCCGACCGTCTGTCTCTCTGTCCGTCCATCTCTCCATCCGTCCATCTGTCCGCTCGTCTGGCCCCTCCTAACCCCGCCACGCTCCTGAGCAGCTGCTAGCAGCCAACTTTGACCGCACAACTTTGTATTTGATACCCTGTAATGTGCTATGCAAACGTGGTATATTGGCTAAGTTATAGACTATGTAACAGGCTGTAGAGTGTGCCCAGAAATGTGTTCAAATTTGATATGCAAAACTCAAATCAATATCAACTCAAATTGCGCATCGATATTTATCGATAACTTATATGTTATCGCTAATAACATTAGCTTGAGATCTAATTTTTTAAGTCCAGCATCTAACACCTCGCCTTCAGCATTGATCATTGATCGATAGACCTCAAGCATTAGTTTTAAGAGCTTAGCTATTTACCTATTTGTACTATGAAATATCGATAAATATCGATACGCTTGTATTACTTTCTGAAAATATTCAGCATAGAAACTGTAATATTATTACAGACCTTTGGCTGCTATTACTAAAACGATATCTATCGATGTATAGATATATCGATATATATTGTGCTGTAGGGTAGTCTGCTAGTCGAGTATACCCGACTAGACCACGCATACTCGCTTTTTTGCACTTATTTCAACGGGCAGTGGCCCAAGCTCGCATAGCACAAAAACTGAAGAAAAAACTAAACACGTTAACAACGCCACGCCCCCCTTTTAGCCACATCGCCCCCTTTCGCTGGACGGTGGCAACTCGGCCACTTGGTTATGTCACCCGCATGCCGCAGGGGGCAACAGGTGGAGGATGCCAGCGGGAAGGGGGGCGGAGCACACATATTTTTTATTTACATTTCATCGATTTGAATTATTTTGCTTTTTTTTTGTTTTATTTTTGGTTTTTTTTTTGTAGTTGTTAAGAGAAAGAGAAAAAGAAAATTCGAAAGCGAAAGTCAAAGTCAAAGACGCGACCACACTTGGCACCAGGGGCGTGCCGTTCAAGGCGGAGGGAGGAGGTGGCGAGGGGGAGGCGTGGCTAATGCGTCGTTTGTCGTTTGTCGTTTGCGCATGCGCGCAGCGTTTTATAATTTCATGACTTGTTAGTCGCTTCTTCGGCGCTTGTTAATGTTACATTTACATTTGCAGCTCGTCTTTTGTTAAATGCCAGCAGCCGCAGCAGCAGCAGCAGCAACAACTATTTATAGTGCTAATAATAGCCAAACAACAACAACAACAACAAATTCATTTTAATTTCCAACGCGTGTTCAAATGCAAATTTGTTGACTGAACTTTTTGTTGCCTTTTGCCTCGGGTTATGCAATCGGACGCGTTATTTAATTATACCTTGCTCTTCTTCTTCTGCATCTTTCTCTACCCCTCCTCCTCCTCCTCCTCTTCTTTCATTTTTATTGTAGTTTTATTTCATTTCAGTTTGATTTTATTTGGCAAGTTTCATTTTTGTGGGAAGTGCATTGAACTTTGAGCCAAAGCCGCCTCTAATTGGCCACGTGATATGCCTTTATGCCGCCATCTATTAAAAGTTATTCAATTAGTTATTATTCACTCCATTCAGCACGCACACATCCAGCTAATTATGTAGCCAAACTCATTATTTATTATTGCTGCTGGCCAACTAAATCGTGTTTCGTTGAATCTCGACCTTTGCCTGCTGCTGAAGACTCTCCTTGCTGCTCTATGAGCTGCGGCTTGAGTGTAGCTAGCTGCAGGAAACTTAGCTTAAATGCTGTCTCAGACTACAGCTAGAACATCACTTAGCACTGACCAGAGAGACACCAAGTATCATAAAGAAATATACATTCAATTGCGAAGAATTAAGAGAGAAAGTTACTTTGTTTAAGACCTTAAGATATATATATATATATAAAGTATAACTACAGTATAATATTCTGCATTCCAAGTTCGATGTTCCATATTCAAATATTCCATATTCGAATATTCCACATTCCATATTTCATACTCCATAATCCTTATTCTATATTCCATATTCCATATTCCTTATTCCTTATTCCATATTCCATATTCCATTTTTCATAGTCCATATATTCCATATTCCATATTCCATATTTCATATTCCATATTCCATATTCCTTTTTTTCATATTCCATATATTCCATATATTCCATATATTCCATATTCCATATTCCATATTCCATATTCCATATTCCATTTTTCATATTCCATATATTCCATATTCCATATTCCATATTCCATATTCCATTTTTCATATTCCATATATTCCATATTCCATATTCCATATTCCATTTTTCATATTCCATATATTCCATATTCCATATTCCATATTCCATATTCCATATTCCATTTTTCATATTCCATATATTCCATATTCCATATTCCATATTCCATATTCCATTTTTCATATTCCATATATTCCATATTCCATATTCCATATTCCATTTTTCATATTCCATATATTCCATATTTCATATTCCATATTCCATATTCCATTTTTCATATTCCATATATTCCATATATTCCATATATTCCATATTCCATATTCCATATTCCATATTCCATATTCCATTTTTCATATTCCATATATTCCATATTCCATATTCCATATTCCATTTTTCATATTCCATATATTCCATATTCCATATTCCATATTCCATATTCCATATTCCATATTCCATATTCCATATTCCATATTCCATTTTTCATAGTCCATATATTCCATATTCCATATTCCATATTCCACATTCCACATTCCATGTTCCACTTTCCACATTCCATATTGAAATATTTTACATTCAACTATTTCTCCTTCTAGGCTCGCGTTTGGAGAGCAAGTTGCAAGGCGTTGGCATGTTGCCTGGTGGTGGCGCCGCCGCTCAGCGACGTGGACACGACCATCATCATTATCATCAGCACTATCCGGATCACGTGCCGGCGACCACAGAGAATCAGGCTCTGAAGGAGGCGCAAAACAAATTCCATCTGCTCGAGGCAGACTACAAGACGTTGCATGACAAGCGGCTGCATGATGTGAGTGCCAAGTCGAGTTGCCACTATGGGCTAGTTGCTAATCTGTCTCCGTCTCTTCCTCTCTCCCTCTCTTTCCCTTGCTCGATCGTTCTCTCTCGCTCCTTGTCTAGCTAAAGACGCTGCAGAGCGCCCACGAGCGGGAGCTGGCCTCGTGCAATGAAACGGTGCGCATTCTGCAGCAGCGCTTGAATGAGCGCGAGGAAGCGTTTGCCACGCAGAAGCGGCGCAAGGTGCCCGTCGATTACTATGCGCTAAAGGCAAAGGTAGTAGCTCCACACGGCACATACAGCTAGTCACATGTAAAACTGTTAACTCTTGCAGGTCTCGCTGCTGGAGCGTCGGCACTCGGAGCGTGAGGAGCGGCTGCACATGCTCGTCGAGGCGCTCAGCAAGGGACGACTGAATGGGGCACTCGAGGATCTGCTGCAGGAGAATAACAATAAGTAGCTGAGCATAGTTTAAGAAGCAGAAGCAGATCAGAACAGAGCTGATCAGAACACACAATTAACAGTTATCGATCATGTTATCGTTATCGCCATCGCCGACGCCGCCGCCGCCGCGGACGCTGTCGTGCAATTGAAAATTAAACAAATCGAAATTTGTTTAAACAAATTACATTTGTGTTAAATGTGTTAATGGAACAATTTTTTTTATAAAAAGTATTATGTATTACAATTGATCGATAGATCGATAACAGTTGCAGCCAAATTGAATTTACTATTTTTTTTTAGAGCTGAGGCTCAGTTAAGCTAAATAGATCTCAACTTAGGTGTAAGAAGTTGCCGAATCTTAACTAGAATATCCAGAATATATATATTTATATATATATATATATATATAGTTGCTGACATTTGGCATATACCCGAGTTTCCAAAGAATTCTAGTTAGATTTTATCAAAAAACCTATTGTTCAGTTTATAAACAGCAACAGCAAATTGTAGTTTGTATATATATAAATATATATATATATATATTATTTATTGTGAATCGTTGAATTCGGCGAAAGGAAAATTTGTGAATTTAAATTATTGTAAGTGAAGGCCCTCCGATCACTGCCCACTGCGCAGGTCCAAGGTCGACTTTGAGTACGATTACGATTACAACAAAATCCTTTAACACTAAACTTAAACTACAGTTCGTTCGAAATGTAACACGATACAGAAAGAGACAGCGCTAGAGCCAAGGAGCGAGCGAGCGAACGAACGCATAGATTTGAATGCGTAGAAGAAGTACGAATAGAGCATGAGATACTATATCATGCCAAATAACTCTATATACATAGGGCTCTCAAAAATTCTGCCAGTGAAAGTTGTTGCCGTCAGCAGTGCTGAAAAGCATTCGTTAAATGCCATTCGCTCCATCCACAAGTATCGAGTACTACGGGCCTTAAGAGCCAACAACAAATTGAATACGAAAACGTTTTCAGAGTTACACTTAAAAGTATTACAGTAGCAGTTGATATATAGATATATATATATATATATATATAGAACAGAGTATTACTCTTTGAAAGTATGTCCGTCATGAGTCGTGAGTCCGTCAATTCTATGTGTAGCGAAGTCAGTTTTTAAAGCCCAGCATATAATATAAAACTAACAATAAAACTATAACTAGACCTTCATTCGTACAATTGTTAGGTACAGGGTATTGTCGCAGTCGAGCATTGCCAGCAAGCGACCACTATCTTACTAGTCTCTAACTATGTTTGTGCAAGTGCTCAGCGTGCTATGCTGCATTCATCTAATTGTAAACACTTTCAAAAAGTTATTAACCGAACCAAACAACAAGAAGAAGAAGAAGAAGAATAATGTTTAAACTTCAAGTCAAATTGTCAAATTGTACAACTAAAAAAATTGAGTTTGAAATTATAAAACATAAAAAATACAAATAATAAAAGTATTTCAATAAGTATACTATAAGAAACTGTTTAGTATTATATTAAAATATTTATTTTATTTTAAAAACAATTTTTTATATTATTCTATTTTATTGAAATATTTTGTTCAGCTAACTTCAGATAATCAAGCTGTACGAATCTATTCGCATTCAGCTTGTTTGCAAACTGACTCCCTTGAATGTCGTCAGCTTTATCTGATCTGCTTACTATATCCCATATGACACTTTCGTACTTCGTAAGGCCCTTTCTAGGCGCTGCTCCATCTTTGAGTACTTCATTGGCCCGCACTGCCTGCACCTGTTTGCCTAGTTCTGCTGTAGCTTCTAGAGGCTGCCTTCTATCTTACCTCACCTGACTAGGCCCTTTACCTATAGTAATAAGTGAGGCAGTTGCTGTGCAGCTGAGAGCTTAAGCTTTCATGAGAGCACTTTCCAGCTTTAGGCCAGAGCAGTCTCAGCTGGGGCTTAGAGTTACCCTAGCACTAGACGTCAAGTGAAGGCGATTGGGCAAGCGTCCTAGGGTAGTCAGTTCGACAGTACGTTTTGTTCAGTTTCAATCACACAGCTAGGAGTTAGTCCGGATGAATCGGGAGTACGAGCTTCCACACTGAAAACAAAAACCAACAAAAACAAAAAACATAAATACGCAAAAGAAACATAAGAAACGCACATCTGAATACGAGAGATTATTGCTGGCATCATGGCTGAGGGTATGCGTCGAGGCAGACGCCGTCGCATTGAGCCGCCGCGCATTCAGTACGGCGCCTGGGATGATCCGCGCGTGTCGCTGTTTGCGACCGTGCCGCAGGAGCCGGTGGGCGACATGCTGGGTCGACTGAAGCCTTTGCCGCCGGATCAGCGTAATAGGACCTTGGATATGGATTCCTGCCCGCTGGTATTGGCGCCATCCAATTCGACAAATCGTCTCTTCCGCGAGGTCAAATACCAGGTGCAGCAGATAGCCGACGACCGCAACAAGAACTACCATCCCATACAGGAGCGGGAGCGGCAGTCGGCGATCATCGCCGGCATGGTGGCCGAGCACAATAATCGGGAGTTCGCTGAAGCGATGCGATCCAAGCAGCTGCAGGTCAACTCGCAGAGGCTGCGCGATCTCCAGATTGAAATCGATCGGGCCAAGACGACGTTGTGCGTGGTGGGCAAGCGCAACGAGAACATTATAAAAAAAGGCGCGGAGCGGGCAGAGGAGCGCCGGGAGGCACTCGAGCACTGGGAGCAGGTGCGCAAAGAGAAGCTGGCCGAGCAGCAAGCCCTGCAGGATAAGACGAAGGCATACAGTCAACAGCTGGTGGCCCAGATACATAAGTTGCAAGCGGAACGGGCGCAACGGCACATAACCGATCTGGAGGAGGGTCGTCAGAAGCGGCACAATGACGAAATGGCCCACGCCAACGATCTGAAGCAGAGCCTCGAGGATCGGTATAAGAAGCGAGGGGAGCTCAAGAAGATGCTCGATGACTTTTCGGCGCTGCAGCGCAGTATACGGGATGCGAATCCCATACAGCCGGATAAGCTCAACGTGATCCTGATGGAGGCCGTGGGCCCGGTCACTGCCAGCTTTAAACGGAACTCGATGCAACAGAAGCTGGACAAAATGGAGCGACGTCGTCTCATTAGCGACAAACTGTCCGAGCAGCTGCGCGAGATACGGGGCAAGAAGGATGCCCACGACAATATGCTCGCGGACATCTTGGTCTGCGAGCGGCAGGCGCGAGAGAAGAAGCGCGCACGCCAGGAGGTGCTGAACCGTCACAACCAGAAGCTGCAGGTGGCCAAGGATCTGATCAATCAGCGCAAGGAGAAGCAGTTCTATCGCGAAAAGGACGAGCTGCTCTTGAATACCATACACACGGATGCCACCAGCTTTATGCAGCGCCAATATCAGCAGGCCAGCGCCAGGGAAGCGGCCAGGCAGGAGCTCAATCTGAAGGGCACCGCTGACAGTGCCGTCGAAATAGCAAACAATGCACGACTCCGCGCCATTGCCGTCGAGGAGGACCGCATGCTCAAGAAGGCACTACAAGACATGGAGGATGAAATGGAGCGTCGCATCGACGAGGAACGCATGCGCGTGCTGCGCAGTCAGCCGCGAGAGATCATTGACGAGGTGCGGCCCTGCAAGCTGAGTCGCGCCGAGCGCTTCACCTTCAATCTACCAAAATGCACCAAAGACGAGGACACTCACACCCACTAACTAAATCAAGAGTCTGTCCATAAACTGATACAACTAGAAAAACGACTAGGATTAGGCTTAGGTAGCTAATTCAGGTAGCTGGTTCAACTGGTTCCGCGTTCACACTCCATAGTTCACAGAAATCGATACTCTAAGACTATAAATTATTTTGGCAGCTATTGCCGACTCACACACACATATGTATATATATATAGAAATATATATATTTGTTTTACGTGCAATCAAATTCTTTTTTTGCAGCGGATAAAAAGGGCCATCAGTCACAGGGCGACTATTTTACAAACTTCTTAATTTCTTAGTGCATACTTTTAGGCAGCATTGGCAGTTGACAAATGCAGAACAGTTACAGTTGTTTGTTTGATATGCCGCCTTTATATTTGATTGTCTTATACATATTTGCAAGCTGTTCAGGTTTATTATTTTCAATAATTATATATTGCTATAGTTGTATTTTATGCAGTTGATTTGTCAACTTCCTTCTACATTGAATATTTTGTTGCATACTTTTGCACCGCCTATTTAAAAGTGCTCGCTTACAAAAGCTGAGCAGCTATGCACAGTGTTTGGTTTCACAATTTGTTCGCTATATTTTTAACTTAAAAATTTTGACAATCACAATTCCATTGCATACTTTTGCGCGCAGCTAAAAATTCAATAAGCCGAGTTAAACTGACGAACGCTGAAATTTTGAAAACTGCAAATTTTCAAAATTGTTGTATATATTTCTAATTACTAAATTATAAAATTACAATAAAGCACAGTCATTTTGGTTTTTTTTCGCTCTTGGGCGTTGTTTTTATATTTATATTTATTTTTGTTATTTTTTGTTTATTTTTTTTTTGTTTTTGATTTATGCCTCGACTTGTATGATTAGATTTAGTTTTCGTATACATATGCATAGGTAGGTGTGTATACATAACTTGCCTAACAGCTAGATTCAATAGTTTAGTCACAGCTTGCTCTGCAGCACATCTGGGGCTGCTCTTACCTCCAATATAACGGTTAAGCCATTATTGACAAAAAAAAAAAAACATAAAATACATTCCAGAAATGCGTCTTTTGTTCAACTCGGACTCAATTCTGGCTACTTACTAACTAATAAATGCATTTGCCTCCGGTACGTTTCCAAAATTAATTTGTTTTTGTTTGAGTTTTTTTTTTGTTTTCTTTTTTTTCGATTTAGTTTTTGGCAGTTCCTGAACTTAACTTTGGCCATGTTTTTTTTTTTTGTTTTCTTTTCGTATTTTCTTTCGTTTTTTTTTTTTATTATTTATATTAAATTTGGAAGTAAAAGCATTCGCAAATCTTAAAACATTTCATTCTACCATAAATTGCTTTGTCTCCTAACTGATCTGAGCTGTATAAAGTAAATGCATGACAAAAAATCTGTATATATATATATATAAATATATATATATATACATGTGTACAATCAAAACAAAAACAAAAAAAAAGTGGGGGTGCATAAATAAATTATGAATAAAAAAATTAAATGTGCGACTTATGGGAAAATGATAGACATAGATATAGATAGATATAGATATAGATATGGTATATAGTAACTATATAGCCATGGGTGCAAAGCCCGGCCCTTAACTTAACTGTAGATATATATATATAACTGTGTATATATATAGATATGTATTATGTATGCGTTTTACGTATAGATCGAATGCCTTCGCGCACTCCTTAAATGCAAGAAACGAACAAAATTCGAGCACATCGTCAGCCCAGAAGTAAGTTTCGGAACTATAGCCTACTAATACACAACTCGTGCTGATCCGGTGGTTGTTGGGCTTCATTGAAGTATTTGTTGGTTAGTCAATCACCATGGACCAGGGGTGATCCACCTTGCCGTACTGTATGTCCGTCAGGGTCTCGCGTATCAGCTCATGGATGGGCTTCTCCTGCTCCATGGTGGGTATATACAGATCCGTGCCCATGTAGTTGATCCGATTGATGGGGCTGACGACGCAGGCGGTGCCAGTGCCGAACAGTTCCAGCAGCTGAATGGAATCAAAGCGAATCGAATCGAATCGAATCGAGTCGAGTGTGATCAGTATGCGAATCGAACCTTTAACGTGCTCTCTACTTACGCGTCCCTGGTTGAGCAGATCCGTGACCATGGCCATGGTAATGATGCCCTCGCGCACCTTGAACTTGCCCCACTGCTTGGTCATGGACAGGATCGAGTCGCGCGTAATGCCGGGCAGTATGAGACCGTTCAGCGGCGGTGTTATCAGTTCTTGTTCTGAAATCGATCAGACAGAAAAATCGAATTTACAAATTAATTTAAAAAAAATTAAAAATTATATGGAAATCTGTATTGGCTCTGAAAAACTCTCGAGTCAATATGCAGCTAGTGCAGAAAAAGTTCAGTGTTGGAAAACGTCAGCCGAACAAGTTGTGAAGAGTGGAAGATTTATCTTCTGGAATCCATTTCTATGACTACCAAGTAGAGCTTAGTAGAACTTAGACAATATTTCAGTGTTGGAAAACGTATTAAAGTGAACGTGCAAAAAGTTATATGAAGAAGTACAAAATTTGAAAGAAGTTTTCCAAGACGGCCTCGAGTCATTGACGTAGGAGAAAGCAAAAGATTTGGATGAGGTATTCCAAGACAGCCTCGAGTCATGGACAGAGCCAATGCTGAAGAGCCGCGAGTTAAGTGTTGCAAAACGCTGTTTTGCGTAGGCTTTAGCTCACCTCCTTGCTCGTTGACATAGAACATGAAGATGTTCATGGTGCCCACCTCGGTGAGCTGATGATCCTCGCCGTAGAGCCAGAGCACCTGCTGGAGGCCGCGTGCGGCCGCCTCCTTTTGTACGTTGATGGTGGGTGCATAGTTGGAGCCCATTTTGCGGTTGCCGACGCCGCCGGGCCAGGCGCGTGTGTAGCGGGGATCGGCCAGCAGGGAGACAGCGCCATTGCTGCCAGTCTTGAAGTAGCTGCCCACCGGGCTGAGTATGGAGTAGAGCAGCGCCGAGTCGGATGAGGCGACGCCTAACGTGGGCTGCAATGGGATGGAAAGGTCAATGGAGCTCCAAGCTGAGCCTGCGACTCGGGACTCACATCGATGCCGATCAAGGTGGGTCGGATATAGAGGCTGGCGGCATCTGTGTGGGGCACCCACTCGGAGTCGATGGAGAGCAGACGGGCGAGGCACTTGACGAACTCCTTGCCCTCGAAGGTGGGCAAGCCGGACCGCTGGGCGGCCAGGTTCATGCGGGCCATATTCATGTCCGGCCGGAAGATGCGTATCTTGCCGTCCAAGCCGCGGTACGCCTTCATGCCCTCAAAGAGCTGCAACGATGTGAGAAGCCAATCAGCTGGGATGACATTCGATGTGGATGATGATGCAGATGCAAATGATGGAGCCTAGCGAATCCACTCACCTCGACCGCATAGTGCAGCACCTTGGCCGCTGGGTGCATGACTAGATTCTCCAGCGGCGTTATCTCCGGCTTCTGCCAGCCGCCCAGACTCTTGTGGTAATAGATCTTGAGCATGTGATCTGTGAACAGCTTGCCAAAGCCGAGCTCCTCGTCGTTGTCCGGCTTCGGCTGCAGCTGCTGGGGCGTGGCCAGGCGCACAGCCAGCTGCGACGCCTTGAACTGCTGACCCAGATCCTTGTCATGCTTGATCGGCTCCGGGGCATGTGTGTACTCTGTGTTGACCGAGGCGCTGATCTCGAAGTCGGCCGAGACATTGCTCTTCTCTTGCTGCTGCTGTGCCGTCTTCAGCGACTGATTGCTGCACAGCCTGATCGACTGCTCGATGAAGCGGATCAAGCGATGCTGATTGCGGAATATATCCTGCAAACATAATCAAGGTGTCACACTTGGTTATTATGGAATCGATATTCACATATATATCTATATCTATATCTATATCTATATCTATATCTATATCTATATCTATATCTATATCTATATCTATGTCTATATATATCTATATAAATTAGAAACAATTTTCCATGAAATGCTAAGCTCGGCTGAAAGTGAGCTGGATCTAAAATTATAATTGATTTACACCTGCTTTGGGGCAGACAGCGAAATTGTATGCTAATTGAGTTAGACCCGAAATTTGGCGCATGGGCGGGAATTACGAATGCGAGTTGGCCTCAGCTGCGAACTCCATTTGCATAGCAGAAGCCGATCGAGGGCTGATCGAAGAGCGTAGAGCAAAGCGAAGGAAGGGGCAGGGCAGAGGCAGAGACGGCTCAAGCTACATATAATACAATATAATATACGATATGTACATATAAATACATTATATATATATACATATATATATATTTATATAGTCGTTCAACAACCTCGCTAAGAACTCAGCTCTCACATATAGATTTATATATATACAGATTTATTTATATATCTAGGCATGTCTAGCAGTGCGTACTAAAATGGGCCATGGGCAGCTCTAATTCATAGTGCCAAATGCACTGAGCTCCAATTTGAATAAACTACACAAAAGTCAGGTTGAAAATTGACTCTTAACGAATTCCAGGTATTAGCATCTCATTACAGTGGGATCGGGGCACACGCGTGCCTTATAGTCTGATTAGCTACAGCATTGAGGCGACGCATAATACTTAACGTCGAATGCTAGCTGAGAATTGCAGAGAAGAGTGCTCGACTAATGTTGCGTAAGAAGAAGAAGAAGAAAAAGAAGAAGGAGAAGAGAAATGGAGTTAAGTTTTATTTTGATTTGCTTCGTAGACTTCAAACTATATTCGATTTTTGCAGTATATATATAATAAAAAAATATATATATATATATATATATATATATATATATATATATATATATATATATATATATATATATATATATATATCAGAGCTGAGATGTATTTGAGTCATATATAGAATCGAGTATATATATATATATATATCTGCGTAAGGCAATCAGTTAAGTCCCTTTATCTACATCATGCAGCTGCTCTCGAGTTGTCTTCTTCTTCTTCTTGCACTACTCGAGTCTTCTTCTTCTGCTAACACTACCCTTAGCCTTAGCTTATAACTGACAAATTCTAATCTGAATAATAGATTTTGAGCTACGCAGAAATCGCTTGGTCATGATATTATGAGAGATCTACAAAAGTATTTGTAGCCGTCATAACAAATTGCTATTTTGTCGAAAGAGGTCAAAATTCGTAGTATACGAATAGTATACGGAGACCCCAGCTTAAATAGTGCCCAATAACAGATTCTAATCGTCTGCCAATCATCGGCCGATTCCCCCAGCGCGTTACATTTATGATGAAATAGTTGAGTTTGGTGTCTTCATGCCGGAAAACCGAAAATATTTAAATAAAGCGAATCGAGAAGTACACACATATATATATATATAGTAATATCTGCTGAACAGCGAAAAACTGAGTAACTCAGCCGGCGCATTGCATCAGCCACAGTAGTTCGAAAATATTGAGAAGAGAAAAACTAGTTCAAGCACAAACCAAAAAGCAAACGCGCGTTTGCTTTGAGGCCCGAATCGGAGCCGGATTGTCTAGCATATAGTTATATATATATATATATGTATATGCATATGTGTGTGTGCGTGTGCGTATGTCTATATCATATCAAAGCTCAGTTGAGGAGCACAGCGATGGGTCTAGTCTGGCGGGGAGCGTGCTTGGGGCATTAACAGGTGAGCGTGCGTCGCTGGCTTATCATAAAGCAAATCCCCAGAGATAAGCCCTATGCATCGAGTGCATTAAAAATATATGTGTTTTTTTTCTCCTCTCTTTTCGGCTAGTTGTCCAAACTTCATGTCAGCCAAAACTAGACGAAAACTATTTTTTTATAATTCCTTAAAAATAAATCAGCAGAAGAATCCAAATTGCAAAAAGTCCCAAGCTGAGTCGCGACACGCTCAAGTTCATTGATCACAGCTAAAGCTGCTCAAAATTATTTTCTAATAAATCAAAATTATTTTCAAAATATTTCCACAGTTCGCAAATTCGAAAGTGATTCAAATTAGCATAAATATAATTATGGTTGAAAGACATTCGTTGAGTATAATTTTGGCTTGATAAGTCGCAATCAGGAACTATCAGTTCTTAAGTGAATCCATTTGATATATTCATATGTTTAATTTCTAGTTATATTTAACATCTAGTTAACCATGCAAATTTGAAATGCCGTTAAACTTAACGAAACTCGTGTAGAGTCCAAGCTCAAGGCTTGAGGCATTTTGATGCAGATTTTATTCAAGTAAAATCTGATTTCTAATGCTGAGAGATAAAAGATTCATAATTTATTTAGCTATATATAAGATGACTCTTGTTTTTTTTTATTTTTAAGCCACTAGGCAAACTTGTATAAGTTAGATATAGTTTTTCAATTTACTTTTAGCCACTTGGCATAGTTTTTATTAAACATTTTTGGTGGTGGGCAAACCTTTTAAAAAAAAAAAAGTTGCTAAAAAGAAAGGAAACAACCTTATTTCACAGGTTGGGATCCATAGTACTCCTTTTCTTATCAGTGGCTTCGGCACATGTCACCGACTACTCGCGTGCCAAGTACATTCCCATCATCGACGGCGAAATCTTGATATGGGAAGAATACGCCTACGTTAGGCACTCGGCAAACCTCTCAGAATACGTGCGAATTGTGGAAGAAACGGTCAAATTAATTGACATGTTCCCGCTATCCCACATGAAAAAACTTCTGAGTGTGGACACGGTACATCTACAAGACCTATTGGAGGCGTTAGGCACGCATCATAGAGTCGCCAGAAGTTTAGATTTCCTAGGGTCCATACTGAAGGTTGTGGCGGGTACACCTGATGCCAGGGATTTAGAGCAGACTAGATTTACTGAAAGGCAGCTAGTAAATGCCAACAATAGACAGATAGAAATAAACACTAGAGTTCAAGACCAGCTTAACCAGTTGACATTCACTGTCAATAAGATTCTCAAGATAGCCAAAAACTCACAAGTTGACACTAGCCATTTATTCGAGACACTATTGTCTAGAAATAGAATGCTGGTAATGGAGTTGCAAAATTTAATGCTTGCTATTACTCTTGCAAAGGCTAACATTGTTAGCCCAAACATTTTGGACCACTCAGATTTGAAATCAATTTGGCTAGAGGAACCCACCAACACTCCCATAGGAGATCTTATGTCCGTTGCGTCCGTAAAAGTCCTTCAATCCATTAACACTATACATTTTATAATTAAATTCCCAAAGATTAAACAAGCTTGCAGAAAAATTACGATTTATCCTGTCATTCACAAGAATTTCATATTGCGATTGCCTGACAACATCATAGCCGAATGCGATGGAAAAACCCACACACTGCAGAGTTGCACCGCTTCACCTGGAGCCACCTTTTGTCGTCTGGCATTAGAGAGTTCATGTGCCAAAGAGCTCCATGCAGGTGGCACGGCACACTGTGAAATCCAGCCGAGCAACCTGGAAATAATCACCCACGTAGATGATGGAATCATCATTCTTAACGACGGGTTCGCAAGGATCCAGGTGGATAACGGCACTGAAATCCAAGTACACGGCACGCATCTCATTACGTTCGGGGACCGAGTCGCGATCAACGGGACTCTGTTTTACAACCACAACAACGTACGCAATAGAGTCCCGGGCATTGCCAACTCTCCCTTGCTGAACATCACTGCCAGCCAAGATGTCCTCAGCCTCCCTTATCTTCATCGTTTAAATGAACGTAATTTGGAGGAGATACAGCAATTCAAGAAAGACGCCGGAACTGATCAAGCTTATCGTGTGGCATTCATCATTGGAGCTATATGCTGTGCTTTAATCTACATTGGCCTCACCCTTTGGCGGTTCATCGACGCAAGGAAGTCTGCGAAGCAATTACGAGAAGTCGTCGCCGGAATTGGGTCGGCCGAGGGCGGCCTTACACTTGAAGGGGGAGTAGTTAACACATAACATTTAATATAGGGTATTTCATAAGTTTATAATCAACCCTCGCTATCGCGTGTTTCGTAAGTTAAGAAACAGCCCTCGCAATTGCGACACTGCATACTTTGTATCAGCGCGCTATAACTGCAATGGTCAGCGGCGGTAACCAGATACTTTTGTTTACTGCAAGAGTTTCCGTTATTGCCTAAGATTGCTGAGTCGGCTTGCCGACCATGACATTGTGGTGTGATGCGAGTTTTGGCTTAGCTTAAGTGAAATATTCTATGTAGCTAAAAATCAGTTTTGTATTGAAGTTTGAAGAATAAACTCGCACTACTCCGGCACACCGCCGTAATCAAATTGTTATATTTCTGATCATTGCTGAGCCACAAGGCCAGTTAATAGAAAAGGGGGTGAAGTCAAACCCTCCAACATAATCATCATAAGAAGATTATAATTACCCGATCAACGCTGGACCTGCCACCGACGCCTAGCTCATCGCTGGACCAGCAACTTATTGATTAAGACTATAAATACCCGATCAACGCTGGACCTGCCACCGACGCCTAGTTCATCGCTGGACCAGCAACATATTAATTTATATAAATAGAAGCTATATAGCTAGTAAGAAATCAGTTTTGAGAGCAGAGTAAGTTATTTGGCTGGCTCTTGTTTAAGTCAAAGTTTCCATATCCAAATTCCATAAATATTTATTAGTGGAGCACCTGTTTGGGGACAGCGCACCTGTTGTTAATTTGTATTTGTGAAGTGTCTGCTAGACGCAAGCTGGAATAATGTTTCTCTTGTATTCCAGTTGTTTCTAGGCAGTTTTTTTTTTATTAAACCTTTGACTTTAACAATCACTAAAAGTGAATTCGACTTTTTTTTAATTTTTTTTGCTTGAAAAGATTGTAGCTTATTAAATAATATATTTTTACCAACCTTTGCATTTATGGCCATTTTGGTAGTCATTTTCGAAGGCGTTCAAACTTAACGCCGAAGCGCGCGAAAGTTGTTTAAAAACAAAAACAAAACCAAAACAAAACAAAATAAATAATAGGAAAAGCTTAACGCACTTTTCCGGCACGCACGCACACGCGACTTATAAATATAATATATGTATATATATAGTTATTTGTAATTATCTGAATATTTTTGCTTAATAACTTTTTGCACGTTTTGCACTTTTTCACCAAAAGTTTTGGGGCTAAACTTTGTCAAAAGGGAGCATAAATTTGAAGCATGGACAACAAATGAATATATATATATATATTGTGAACGCCTGGTCTATATTGTTTTTTTTTTTCTTGATTTGAATATTGTGATTATATATTTATAAATATATATATTTTTGTATATTCTGGTCGTACGATACGTATGCACAACACAGAGTCTCTGCAAGAACTGAGCTCCTGCCGCTGTGCGCGCCTCTATGTATAGGCAGAGCAGAAGCGCTCGTGACGGCGATGGCGACGGCAACGGCGACAGCGAAGTCGACAAACAAAAACAACAACAGTCGACGTCAGCAGCAATGAGCGAGAGTATTGCGTTTACCGTTCAAATGCGGCCGGCAGCCATTTTTAAGAGCATAGCAATTCGCTCAGCTAGCGGCCAAGGGAGACAACATAATTTAACGAAGACAGAGAGGCGCGGCGAGGCTAGGCGAAGCAGCAGCCACACACCTCTACCACCACGTACTTATTTGGACGCAGCATTTGTAGCTTTGCGGCGACTAAAAAACTGAACGACAGATCGTCAAAACGACTGAACTCAAATTCGTTTTTTTCTTCTTGCCAACAACGAACTTTTTTTTGGCTGTTTGTCTTCTATTTGTTTTAACTTTTTATTTCGTTTCGATTAGCAACAACAAATCGTCGCAATTTTGGTTAGGTTTTTGTCTGCTCTACTGCTTCTTCTCCTCTGGTTTCTTTTTTCGAAATATTGCTGTTTTGCTTTTGGTGATTTCTTTTTACTTTTTAAATTCTCATTTGATTTTTTTTCGGCTTTTTGTCGAATTGCTTTGTTCGCCTGTGATGTGAGTACTTTTTCAATAGGCATTGTATCTCTAGATTTATTTGTGTGTATATCAGAATATATCTATATATAACTCTTTAAATAATAATATAAATCAAACTTGTGACTCGCTTAAGTTTTTGCGTGATTAAAGTTTCCCCAATTTAAACAAATACAAGCAGATATATATACATATATGTATATTTATATATATCAAATGAGTTATTACGTATTATCTTAGCTAACTGATACGAGCTGAAATTGCGAAAGGATGAGCCAATGATTCATGGCCTCTGCTGGCGGTGAATGACGAATGAAGAATACCCTACTCCCAGCCAGGTTGATGGTTCCATACTTCTCTGTATGGCTAAAGCCCTTATTACGAGAAATTACTACAATTAAGTTTAGAAAAATTTATAATTTTTGAAATTTTAGTCTGAATAAATTCAATAAAATTCTAGAAATCAGATATTTTAGATGAATGCAACAATTAAAATCTTATTCATATTTCCAGGAAATTTGTATAAAATATTTCAAGTTTTCATGCCCAATCACTATGCGATATGAAACAATATTGGTGATAAACAACTTGTTTCTAAATACGCAATTTCCGAAACGAACAAAAAAAAAACAAATACTTTCAAATCATTTCAAAGAACTCGCTCGAGTACGAATGTACCTATGCAGATATAATTATATATATACACATAGTTTGCTATCATGTGTTGGTATTGCTCTATGGCGCCATATGCTTAGTATGTATTGTATCTTAAAACGCATTAGATGGGCAAATACAAACTATGCGGCTCTGACGCATACTCGCTTCCTTCCAGTCTATGCTGCTTCTTGAATTTTAGCAATATTTTTCTACCTGAAGACACACACACTCTGTCAACACAAACATCCAGATTGACGGACGTATATATACATATATAAGCATATATTTATTTCATTTTTATCATATTAGAAAAAAACCATTTATGTCATTGCGCTTATCTGTCACCTGGACAACATGATGTGCACATTTTGTTGTTTTTTCCTGGCGGTAATTTTTATTTTTGGTTTGGCTTGGTTTTTTTCTGCCTTGCTTAATTTCCCACTGAAACAACAACAATTTCCTGGAAAAGTGGAGAGGTGCTAACCCAATGCTAGATGTCATGCCTTAATGCGTGTATTAGCTGATGTAATATATCGGCGTCAATATCATCAGCATCATAATTGCTGATAAGCGGCATCAGTTTTTCCCCCCTCCCCACCCATATCAATTTACGAGATCTTTCCATTATATGCTCGTGTGTTCCTTAAGAGTCACAACTCTTTTACAACGCTCTTTGCTCCTTGCTCTTTGCACTCTCTTGCTGGCTCGTTCGCTCGCGCGCTCTCTTCGCTGTTACATGTGGGCTGCTTAGCAAACATTCCTGCCATCTCATTCCCTCCCTTCCGTTCCCACTGCTTTGCTGCTCGTCAAGCAGCTTATCGCGATCACGCGATGCGAATACACGCACACACATGCGAGCTCACACGCATTCTGTTTGCATGTATTTCCAATGTCAATGTACTGGCCCGCTTGACTCAATGAATCGCTGGATATGCCCAGAACATCATGTAATATGTAATCGTGTACATGTGCGCTCGTGTCTGTGTGTGTGTGTGTGTAGCCTCTCGCAGTGGGTCAGTGTTCTGTGACCTTCGGGCTAGGCGGGCCACCGTGTCAAGGATGGCTACACACAACACAACTTGGGCATCTTGTAAACAAGTTAGCAAATCTTGATGATGGCCCAATCATTTAGTAAACAACAAGTGGTCAGCCCTTTGGCTTTGCTCGTGCCACTAAGTAACCTAAGTACTTACCCCAAAAATGCTGTTAACTGTTAATTATCGTCTCAATAGTAAATCATTAATTGTAATAAAGTATCACACGCACGTACTAAATGCCATATCTATACTTTCCTGCTTCCTGTCACTGCTCAAGTAGCGTACAGATAGGAAGAACACACTCTATATACATACATACATACATATATATATTAATATATATATAGCTCAATATTCCTAATCTTATTTCTACAGTTCATCTAATATAACGAAAGCAATTCAGTCATACAAAAATATTGAAACAGTTAGTTAACATCATATCAATATGTAATATAAAATTTTAATTATTTTATTTTCGACTTGACAATAAAAAAAGAAGACTATTTTAAGACATTATCATCTGGTGCATATGTAAATGCTACGATCTGATGTCAGGGGGCGTTTCAATCAAATTAAATTAAATTCGAAATACGTAAGTAAACAGAATAATCAAGAGCACGAAAAAAAAGATGCAGATCAAAAAACTGAGAAAACCAGACGACCTCGGAATGCCCTAATAAATGATTTTGATAATGATAGTAATAAAGATAAGGCTTAAGATAAATCATTAATATTATTAACTAATATGTATGCTAATGCTAATGCTAATGCTAATGCCAATGCTAATGCTAATGCTAATGTCAATGCTAATGCTACTGCTATTGCTAATGCTAATGCTAATGCTAATGCTAATGCTAATGCTAATGCTAATGCTAATGCTAATGCTAATGCTAATGCTAATGCCAATGCTAATGCTAATAATGCAATACTAATACTTAATGCTATAGGCAATGACTATTATGATTCTAATTCGAATACTAATGATATTCATAATGATAATGATAATGATAATGCCAATGATAATGAGAATCATAATAGAAATAACGATGAAGTGAAATGAATTCTACGAATAAACAGGGAAATCATATAGACTTCAAATATAAAATGGTTTCACTCGAAAATTAGACTTTTCTCTTTTAACTGAAACAGGCTCGACTACTGAAACCAGATCCGACTTACCGATTTTGGATTATCTTTTGATAAGTGTTTACAGTTTTGATTTGAACTAACGCTTTGTTTTCGCTTTAGCACTACTTACTTGCGGACATATAAGCAGGCCATATAGATAGATTTGTTTATATATACTCTGTAAGATCTATATATGGGAGCATCTGTTATTGCTGTCAACATGTCGCAGATCTTGCTGTTGTTGTTTGTCATGTGGCGAAAAAAACAACTGACTGTCATATACCAAAGTAACTCGTTGCTGTGCAAGATTGCAGGATGAGCGTGTGTGTGTGTGTGTGTGTGTGTGTCTGCGTCAGTGTGTCTGAATGGCATATCAAGTGACACAATTGGAGGCGCGTGCAGCAGAGATTGTGGCATAAATAGTTGCATATTGACAACTACATGACGCCAATGCGGTTTTATATGCTTCACCAACAACAACTGTGGTGTATGTGTGTTTGCGTGTGTGTGCTTTTGGAGGCACGTTCACTGGCTAAACGGGCCCACTTTTGCATACCCTAAGTACGTAAATGAATAGGGTATACTGTTTTAAAGCAAATGTACGTAACAGGCAGAGAAAAACTGAAGAAAATTTACTTGGTCAGATCCACATTTATAGAATACTATTTTATAATAAAATCATATTATAAGCACCATATCATATCAAGAACCATAAGAGTTTGGCTTAGCTCTCTCTCTCTCTCTCTCTCTCTCTGTTATATATGCGCTTGCCTATACCTAGGGTATCTGCTAGTTGGGCATGTCCATCTAGAGGAGTGCTTGTTTTATTATTAGTACATTTTCTTGTGCTTCGCATCAATTTTGAATTTATTTGTTGCGCAGCTCACGCGTCGTATGCGCAATATGAACGGCCTCTTAATATTATTGTTGCTCTGTTCGATGTTGTTGTTGTTATGCTTGAGCTTGTGCGTTTTTAGTGCTTTTGTTGTTCACTTACTAGCATTTTGTTTTGCTTGTCTTAACCTTGATAACCGAAGCGCGTCATCGTACCAACAACAAGTCCAAGCCCAACCCCAACCCCAACCCCAACCCCAAGCCAAGACCCCACCCCAATCGCATTCGCCGTCGCCGTCGCCGTCCCAATTGCAACTGCGATTCATCCTGTTGTTGTTTTCGCACATGTAAATATTATTCTATTATTGCAAGAGAAAATAAAAATAATTTATCAGGTTGTTATTGTTCGCCACTATCTAACAAGCAGCACGAGCTGGCCACTCTCACTTCCCACAATCAAGGCTGTTATTC